AGGGAATTGATGCCTACTATGACCGGTTCATGCTAGAGGACCCCTGGAGAGACCTCCTGCCAGTGCGGGGAGCTGGGGAGACAGTGGGAGGAAAGACAATTAATACTACCAAAGTATCGGTAGAACAAGATGGGGAAACCAGTAGCAATACACAAGAGTGTAGCGGTGGTTTAGAGGGCAAGGAGTGTGATGTGAACACAACATCATCACCTTCCACTTGTCAACATTCTGACTCTAGTCATCTGGAGTTTTCAGTCACGTGAATTTGTTCATGTGTTTGTTTGTATTCCCTCCTCTTCCTTCAAGAGAAAAACAACCAGTGCATAGTACGTCACACCCAAGAGAGTGTATATTGGCGTTACTCTATTTAGTGCTCACTACCTAATTTCCGTCCGCGTCAGTGAAAAGCCAGGTGTTCTTTTGTGTGGCCGATCTAATATGGCTGTCTAGCTGGCCGCACAGCTTCCTTTGAAAGAGGCCGGGACACGTTCGTTCTCGTTTGAGGAGGAAGGCTCGGTGCGAGCACCGTAAAAGACGCACATAAGACTAGTAGAGTTCAGCTGGCTGTATTCTCAGCGGGACAAACGGACTGCCGAGGAAGTTGAAGAACACCAGCTGACACGAACCGGCCAACTGTTGCCGTCGAATGAGTAGTAGTTTCGTTTAGCCGCCGTCCCCCCTGTCTAGCTGACATCCCGTCGTTGTGTGTACGAGACAACCAGAATGGAACTGCGTGTAGGAGGCAAGTACAGGCTGGGAAGGAAGATTGGCAGCGGTTCCTTCGGAGACATATACCTCGGTGAGTCATGACACCGGTACACCACCTATAGCTAGCTACAGACAGTAATCTGTGTGGTGGACGTTTGTCGTCATTGTGAACGTGTGTGTGGGGACAGCTTTGGAACTGTCAATGGTGCTAATAAGTACCTCACTCTCCTGAGTGTTAATTTTTGGACAGCCAAGAAAGGCAGGGAGTGTGCAGTGCATGGAGGATGGATGCAGACAGTTTTATGTAACAGCACTAGCTACATTGTATGTACACATACGTACATGAATAATATATACAGTGTCTGAATGTTTTGTTTAGTGTTGTGTATGTGTGTATCATGTTGTCCACCCAAAAGGTGGTGGTGCGTGCGCATTACAACAGCTTGTTGTACTATCTTGCTCTCAATGTTCAGCTACTGTGCTCTATTGTTTCAACCTACTACTTACCTACTGTGCATGGTGCTATCAGATTGACATCTCTTGGTTGGGTCTGTGTCTACTTATACTTTTCCTAGTGTACAAAAGTACACAGAACTGTATAGACCAAAGTGGATTATACCTTTTGTGTAATGACCATGGCTGATACTCACCATCTGTGTGTGGCTAATAGTGTTTGTGTAAAGGTGGTCCTCACCTTCAAGCCAGGAGTGTTACATGTGCTGACAATCAAAGTCCAGACATTCATTGGCAGGGAGCACTCTGTACCGTGCCTACGGAGAGACTGTGCCTTTTCCCGAATCAGCTGCCTACTGTGCAGAATAGGAGTGTGTTATCTATGTATGTGAGCAAGCTGTGTAGCCCAGAGTTCCTGGGCGGACATTTGACCTGAGACTATGGGCTAGTGGCCTGCTGGTATACAGTGGAGCAGATATCCTTGTCTGGCATGTACATATGTAAGGTATTATTCACCTTCTCAACAGCCCTTGTATGCTTTGTGTGTGGTGTGTGTGTGTGTCATAAGGAAGTGTTCTGTGCGTGCCCATGTGGTCAGGGTGTACTTATAAAGTTCAGTGACGTCGTGCTGCACGTAATTGGCTGGCAGATAGTGCCAATCTTTCCATTACCTAAAGACTAACACAGCTTCCTGCAATATCCAACTACCCATCCCTTCGGCCTTCCTGTCTTCGTTTTCCTTCTGCCTCTGTAGGTACACATAAATACAAAGGCTGGGGGTTTGACTATATACTGTATACATACATTGACAGCCTATTTGTAATGGTTATAACATTAGAGGAGGTTGGTAGACGGTAAGTATTATTAATGATTCTTTTGTCATGTCTTTCATGCACCTACATACATACGTACCACTGCCTTCATGTCACCATGTCACATACAGTAGTATGTCTATTTCCATGGAGCTGTGGTGGACATGCTGCATATCTGTGGTTCGGGTTCCTCTATTGGTGGCGTATGTAGACAGGGGATGTTTGTGTTCCCTGTGTTTTGTCTTAACGCCTCCTCTTTGTGTGTGTGTTCTTGGCCGTGTACTTACTCTTCCTGTCTGGTACATCTATTGTGCATATCTTCAGTAGTCCATTTGTTTGTGCAGTCTGGTTGTACATGTACGTATTCTACCTAGTCTTGTTTTGTCTAGTATGGGCCTTTTTACTTGTCCGGCCGAGTCCCAAAGACATTGTACGAAATGTTGGTGTCATTAATTTGAATATGACGTTTTTGTCATTGGCCTAGTTTTGATCTCCGTTGGATATAGCGAGAGTCTATGACCTAGCTCTTCTGCAGCATCATTACAGCTAATAGTGACAGGATTAGCCATTTTGTATTACCAACTTTCACCCCAGACTCTGTGGCGATAAGACCGCTAGGTGAAGCATTTTGTGAGCTTTGACAAATATTACACCTGATAGCACATGTGTGAAAGTGTAATGCACATAATGCCTTTTTCATTCATGTTTTCTTGTCTGTGATGTGTTCATTGAATGTCACTCACTGCTCAGGTTGTGGGTGGCTTATCATCTGTTGAAATGGGATACAGATATACATTTCAGGCTTGTCGCCCTGATTGCCTGTTTAGACCCACAGTGTACATATTATACTAGGGACTGGCTGTATGGACATGTCCTCATGCAAGTGTCCACACATTTTGGAGTATTAAATCTTAGTGATGTACAGTTCTATACCACGTCGTTCAGAACCTTTAGAAAATTCGGATAAACGTGTTGGCCACTTTTTCAGCTGGTCCGCATTGAAGTGTCCATATTATGTGCTGTATGCACTTGTTGTATTATACAAGGATGTGTGTATGTATACTGGAGTTTGGTACAGAGAACATTGTGTGTGTTCATTGTAGGAGAGGGAGGAAAAGAGGTGCCTGTGTCTAGTGTGGTGTTGTGGGGCCTGGTATTGTGGGTGGAATGTGGGGGCAGTGGCCCAGTCAGTCAGTGGCCCAGTCAGTGAGTGTGTGACTGCCATATCTCACTGGGAAACCTCAGTATATCGTAATGCCCTGCCCGTCCCTGCCCTCTGCCCAAACCCCCACATGTCCACTGCAGTAGTCAGCTCTTGTCAAAGAGTTACTAATACATTGAGTATCTATACACGCAAGTCACCCTATCAAATATCCTACCAGTCCTTAACTCGTGCTGGCTACTCTCTTTTGTAACAGTAATTTAGTCAAAATCAATTTCGACTTGAGTTATCCGAACATGTTAGTTACCCAAACCTGCATCAAGACCCCCCCCCAGAATTTTACACGCAAACAGCCTCCAAGCGCTTCATCTTCCGGTATGCACATTCCGCCCCTTTACATTTGGATAGTTCCAACTTCCTACTATGGGATTTTCGTTTCACAGCCTATTGCTACTCACAGCTTAGCCACACAGCTTTATCAACCTCTCTTCCTACCACCTGCCAAGCCATTTCCCCCCTACACAATTGGCTATCTCCTATCAGTGATGGAGGTAGAGAGAGAGGGATAACATTCTGTGTGGTAGATTATAGCGTAGTACAAATCAGCCCGCCACCTAATTCATTTCAGACGGATGGAATGCTAATTATTGCCCACTGTGCCAAAAGCTACAGAGAGCATGTGTACCCGTGTGGAGCAGCACTGCTTGCATAGGAGATTGGTTTCCCACTGCCAAAGATTCCATTGCTCTCTCGCTCAAAAATGCCAAACCCTTTCCATTTTTGTACATACTGTATGTATAATTATGTATACCGTGTGGCGGACTCAGTAGAGGCTAGTGTATGGTAATGACAATTGGCTGTGTGAATTTTATGCGAGTAATGATGTGTATTGCACGGGAGGAATCCTGGGTTTAAACATGTCATATGAGAATAGATGCTGGGTATGCCCCCTCACAATTTTACCCCGCTGCTAAAACAGAAACACGTGGGTCAACTCTGGCTACCTCCTTCAATTATTGTACAATGTGCAACCCGCAGAGGTGAATAGGGTGGGAAGTTGTGGCTGGTGGTGAGAGGTGGAGAGAAAGGGGAGGAGGAAGGAAGTGTAATAAGAAACAGGAAGAAAGTGGGATGTGTGGTTACTGAGCTAGCGAGACGAGGTCCACTACTGTGGGTGATCAGAGGACGTTGCACACAATCAGCATGTGTATCATGTGTATTTATGTACATTCACCTATGCCATTCTGGCGCTATTTGCAGGAGTGTTGTCTTGCGTAATGGTGTACCTTTGCTTAGTCAAAGGAAGTCAAGTCGCTTTGTGCACCAAGGTGTGCTTTGACATACTATCAAATGGAAGGGCCTGTGTCATAATGTGAACCAGGCGTAAGAGGATTTGGATGGTGTTTGGGACTAGTTGTTCCTCATGTATACATTGGCACATGTGGTGCAATCGTCTGTGCAGACACATACAGTTCATACACACCCACCCGTCCTCTTCTTGCGTGGTGTTGAATTCAGGAGTATAATGTATTTGTGCCTTTAAAGGCATCCGTCGGTCCCGTCCATTAAGAGCCCATATCCTGGTTATTGTGTTTCTTGTTACACGCATGTACATTGGCAAAGTTGGGGGAAAGATGCCATATTTGCATGTGTACATTCGGATGTAAACGGATGTTCACATACTATTCAGTCCATGTTTGTGGGCTGTACTATGGGTTGTACTATCCGTCATGTGCCAAACAGATTACCCAGTCATTCGACCCAAATAATGTGGGTGTGTGTGGGAAAGTGTCTTTATATTGCAGGGTTTTACTCTCTGTTTGTTTCTCATTGTCCATGATTGTGTACTATGGACCTTTAAGAGAGAACACTTTCAGTAGAGAATTTATAACTTCCCAGAGAAGACTTTCATATACCTCGCCACTCTTTGCCTGCAATTTACTTGGAGAGACAACTTTGCACTTGATTCTCAAACTGTGAGACGAAAGTTTCCAAACGCGGCCAGTTGTGTGGTGTAACTCTGTGAGTGGTGCCTGAAACAGTCGCCGGTTTGTTGTGTCCACAGTTTGCTCTCCAAGCTTGTGGGGTCATAATATATGTCTCAAAGACTGGCAACGTGCCATTTCTGCGTCATGTCACACTCGTTCCTACCTTCTTGCTGCGTGATCGCAACACAATGTGTCATGGCAACGCGACATGAATGTGAACCAAGGTTTAGCCATCTGTTTTCTCTGTTTTCCTGAGTGTACACCTTAGCCAGGTCTCTCCCCCCCCCCTCTATCTTAACCCCTTTCTTCTCTCCCTGCTACTCTACAGGGACCAACATCCAGACCAGAGTGGAGGTGGCCATCAAACTAGAGTGTGTTAAGACCAACCACCCCCAGCTACACATTGAGGCCAAGTTCTACAAGATGATGCAGTCAGGAGGTGAGTCTAGTCTGAGATTAGTCCCGTGTGGGCTTACTATGCGTGAGAATACACTACCCCAGTTTGTATGTGCTATGCAACTCCTTATTCGTCCATCTTCCATCTCCTCTCTCCATCATTTCTCTTCGTCACTCTTGTCTACTTCTCCCTCTCTCCCTCCTTCTCTTCTTCTTCTCTCCAACTTCCTTCTTCCCTACTTCTGCTTCATTCTTCCATCCCCTCCCCTCTTCTACTCTCCCCCCCCCCTCTCAGTGGGAATCCCATCCATCAAGTGGTGTGGGACAGAAGGAGACTACAATGTTCTGGTGATGGAACTGCTCGGTCCCAGTCTGGAGGACCTCTTCAACTTCTGCAGTCGGAAGTTCTCTCTCAAAACAGTCCTGCTGCTCGCCGACCAGCTGGTACGTCATGCTCTTTCCCCTTTGGGCGCCATAGGTGTCTCCTTAAATAAGCAGAAATTGATGTATGACATATTAGCGCCTAGTATTATAGCCATATATAAATTCTTATGCACTTATGGAGGCTCTGTGCATATATATATGTAAATTGCGCCTAAAGGGTTTTAATAGACCACAGCTACATCACACGCAATACAGTACTGGTGTATCAACCTGTTGAGATAGACTCCCTCCTCTCCTTTGAGCACTCCAACATCTTAGATGGGGCAGGTCCCTTATATCGCCTATATTTTGATGTGTGGTATGGAGCTAGTGGTTTCTGGGATACCACCGAAGGTTCGTGTACCCAACTGTTCTCAGTGTATTCTGCTGTCTACGTATATATGTACGTAGGGACATGAGTAACTTGTGGAACATGTGCTGGCAGGGTTAGAAAGGGTGGATGTAGTGGCTATGTAAAGAGCTGGAGGTGGACTCCCGGTGGAGATTGTGTTTGTGAGGAGTTCCTGAAGAGAAAGTGGCCTTTTGCCAAGTAGTACACATACACTTGTGGGAACTTACTCCCAACTACACCACATACATATATTGCTAGTACGTGCTTTTGTATAGACGCATACTAATGTACATATGTATATGCACTTCCATCCATGATACATGGGGATGAACATTTGGATTGTGTGGGTGGAGTCCAGTAACTAGATCACTCATAATATCGTATATACGTACTGTATGTAGGATCTTTTGCTTCCCATTCCATTGTACATGGTGGAGTAACAAAAATTGTCCCATCGCTTACATAATGTGGTACAATGGGACATGGGTGAAGCTTTGCTTGCTGGTATGGGTGGAGTCTAGTAACAAAGGGTTCTGTCTATATGTGACATATGATCTCTACCACCATGTTACGTGATGTGGTATAGGAGGTGATACAATTGACCACTGGTCTATAGTGGGTGGAGAGCACTGACAAATTTGTCCGTTTGTTCCTTGTTGAAATCACGTCTTTCACGTGGTCCACCGCACTACTTTTGCTGATGATATTGCCGCGGTGTGCCTCTTTGAAGCTATGATGGCTGGGGTGTGTTCAAAATCTCTTTGTTTTTGGGTCTGGTTTTGGGCCTACAAGTGTCCCCTGTCTATTAGCTGACATGATGTTCTTTTAATGACCCAACTTTGTACCGTGACAGCCACTTGACACACGTGTGTGTGTTACGGGCTCTCAGTCAAAGACTCGTGTGCCCAATATGTACACATACTGTATATACTTGTCTGTAGATGTTCAGTGGAAACCCTGGACAGTGGGACAGAAGAAAGCACTCACAGTTGGTGCAATGTCTTCAACGCTTGGCTGAACTAGTTGATCGCACCGCATGTATCCCCATGCATGCTGTGGTTGCTCAGGATCATCAACCAATGTGCATGTTGCAAATATAGTGTAAACTACATTTCACACTTTTCTCCACTGATTTTTGATACGTATTTCGCACACCAATCACACACTATGCCCCACTCCCCCACTCCCCTTCAGATAAGTAGACTGGAGTACATTCACTCCAAGAACTTCATCCACCGCGACGTGAAGCCGGACAACTTCCTGATGGGGCTGGGTAAGAAGGGAAATCTGGTGTACGTCATCGACTTTGGTCTGGCCAAGAAGTACCGCGATGCCCGGACTCACCAGCACATACCGTACCGCGAGAACAAAACACTGACCGGCACGGCCAGATATGCCAGTATCAACACCCATCTGGGAATAGGTAATAAGTCGGTCCCATACCTCTCTACATTTCTTTTACTGCTCCTATATACAATGCCGTATTTCTGACAGAGCTTTTACGTGTTAATGTAGAGTGTGTTAATGGCTAGGGTCAACTCAGAGACTACTCAGCTATAGCCAAAGTGTATGTATGTATGTATAGTACACACGTCTCTCTCTCTCTCTCTCTCTCCTCTCTCTCTCTCTCTCGCTCTCTCTCTCTCTCTCTCTCCCTCTCTCTCTCGCTCTCTCTCTCTCTCTCTCTCCTCTCTCGCTCTCTCTCTCTCTCTCTCTCTCTCTCTCGCTCTCTCTCTCTCTCTCTCTCTCTCTCGCTCTCTCTCTCTCTCTCTCTCTCTCCTCTCCTCTCTCTCTCTCTCTCTCTCTCTCTCTCTCTCTCTCCTCAGCTATAGCCAAAGTGTATGTATGTATGTATATAGTACACACACCGGTGGTCTTAATAGCAGTCGTGTTCTGTGTTCCCTACAATGTGCACTAATCTGATCTCCTGCTATCTCCTCCTACAGAGCAGAGTCGCCGAGACGACCTGGAGTCCCTGGGCTACATGCTGATGTACTTCAACCTGGGGAACCTCCCCTGGCAGGGGCTGAAGGCAGCCACCAAGAAACAGAAGTACGAACGGATCTCCGAGAAAAAGATGTCCACTCCTGTGGAGGTGCTCTGTAGAGGATATCCAAGTGAGTCGCTCGCCCACTCTCTGGGTCATTGTGTGTGGAGACCATTGGCTCTTGGCTCTATAATGTAGACAATTTGTAGTTTGTGAATCTCGGAGCTCTGCCCTGTGTGTACATCACATAGTCATGTAGTGGGAAACTTTGAGGAAATTAAATTGCTTAACTGCTGCAGGAATGGTCGTTGACGCTGTGAACTACACGAAGTGAAAGTTTCACATCTGCCTTACTCTATATCTTAATGTACACTGTATGCACGAATGGCAACGACCTTGGTTCTAGGGCTAAAACTTAATACAACACTGCTTTCATTTTTACCCACTCCCGCTTGTGTGTGTGTGTGTGGCTCTGTAGGTGAGTTTGCGACTTACCTCAACTTCTGCCGGTCGCTCAAGTTTGAGGACCGGCCAGACTACACGTTCCTGAGACAGCTCTTCAGGAACCTCTTCCACAAACTCGGCTACGCCTACGACTATGTCTTTGACTGGAACACACAGAAACTGGTGAGGAGCATGTGTTGTGTCTTTTCAGTGGCTCGCAGCATGTGTTAATATAAAAGCCTTCACACGCACTACTCTACACATGCCTTGTAACGGAAACCTTGGGTGTAGCAGTAAATTATGTAGCCATGAGTCATAGTAGCACGTTGTGGCACGCAGAGAGATTAGACCGACCACTAGCACCCAGAGCAACTTTCGCTGTGTCACTGCGTGAGTGTTGGTTATTGTGGATGAACTCTTTCACTATCTTACAGCATTTATCTTCCCCCCCCCCTCGTTACACAGGGAAGTGGTGGGGCAGAGGCCCAGGGCACTAGCCACGGAGCCTCACGAGGGATGGCCATGCAGGGAGGTCCTCCTCAAGGCTACATTACCTCCGGACATCAGGTAACACTCGGCACATACGTACGTACACACTGCTCTTTAAATAGAATAAACTTTTGGATGGTTGGTGTGTATATTGTGTGTGTAGTTTGTTGAGACTGTGTGTGTGTGTGTGTGCTTGGAGAATGGTTCACTCTCATACGCAACCCACATACTGTATGCTGACATAATGTGCACATGTACGTACATGGCATGTGTCTATAAGCATGGTGTATATACATATGGACGGTACATACTCTGTGAACAAATGCTCCGTCTGTCTGTCTGTGTTTGTGTTGTGCAGGGGATGACGCCGACATCCCAGCAGGCAATGGCTGGGACTCCTATCAGACCACACGGAACCTCTCCCTCTACTCCCAGTGGAGCTGGTCAGTTGTATAACATTATGTAAGCTCTCTCTCTCTCTCTCTCTCTCTCTCTCTCTTCTCTCTCTCTCTCTGACTATCATAATAATGTATCTCACAGTTTATGTATAGCTCCGTCAACTTTGCAATTGCTGAACCCGTAATTGTGTTGTGAACGTATGTAATTCTCTTGCGCATTCTGTAATCTCCTATTGGAAATGTATGGGAATGGTAGCTACAGAACCTGTTGCAAAATCCAAGAAATATTTCCATAACGTGGCCTTGGCAGCTCTGCTCCGGTTGTGCACTCAGTAATAGACGGAGTACATACATGGCAGTACACATACAGTACGTATGTAGTACATTAGCTGTAAGTATATTGACCTGTACCAGTGAGAAACTGAGACTGTGAACACACCAAGTGGATGCTCAGTGTATAAGCATAGCAAGCCAACCTAGTCTTCTGGATTGAGCAGTCTTTGACCGACTGGACACACCGTAGTTTCACCCCTCATCCTTTTTTGCTCCGCATGAAGATATTACTATTGTGTTGTTTCATGTTTTGTACATGTTGTACATGTTGTACATGTTGTGTGTAGTTCCGATGATGAGGACCAAGTCCAAGGAGAGGGGAGGGGCGGCGCAGTGGGTGTCCACCAGTGGTCAGTACGGAGCAGGACACCTCCCTCAGAGAGGCCAAGACACTGCCATATACCCAATGGAACTCCCACACCACTCTGGTGAGTCCTGTCCATCATTGGCTAGCGGGAGCGAGCTAACCTAGTGGTCCGAATGGAGCATGTCAGACCGACCTTAAATGTGGTGACTTTTCTGTCGGTTTGGGGTTTGTCTGCATTATGGATCGTTCAGTACAGAATATGCACCCGTTGCCGTCTAAGAGAAATGATAGAGAGCGTCGTGCACGTGAGACTCTTGAGCAGAGAGAGGCTCGGCTTTCTCAACGCTGTTTACTGTATATACGGGGAGCGAAACAGCAGAGAAAGGGGAAAGACGACTAGGGACACGTCGTTCACAAGACAAGAGTGCGACGGGCTTCTGAAACAAAGGAAACATCACAGCTCCGGAGCTACGTACCTGCAGTTTGGGTTGCTCCCGCTTGCCAAAATTGCTTATCATTTCCACTGCTAATGTCGTATGCATGTATGTATGTATTGTGTACACTTTGCGGTGTGCAACTATATTATTGTGATGTGTGTGTACATAACAATGGTTTGGCCCACCGTACAGTCTGGGTGGCTTTATGGTCTATACATACATACATACCTATGTATAGTATGTATGTGGTATTACCATGCGAGGTTCAGTCTTGGCTCTACAACAGTGAAAAACAAAAGTACAAACCATTGGTGTGAACAGAGTACTGTGACCCTCGCTACACATGTGCACATGCCATAATTATTAACCCTCGGCGCGCATGCGCAGCGAGGGTTACGGTAGTTGGGTCTGTCTGTCTGTCTGTCTGTGTGTCTGTCTGTTACTCGTCATCTCACTTCTCGAGTGTTCGTTCGTCTCACAAAGGATACCACCTACTGAACGGGCAATGAAGGTCAGAAAATATGTGTGGTTTTCGCTGAAAACGCTCCGTTGCAAAGTTAGAGCGCGAAAAAGCCAATATGCAAATATACAACGGCTTACTACGGCATGATCGATCCGCGTGCTCTGCGTACCTCGGAGGCACCAGAAGATGCAACGCAGGGCGTGTATCGCCTCTCGCATGCTATCTAGTAGTGTAGTTAGCCCGCGTCAGACTCTGCGCGAGCTGGCAAGAGACCACGGGTAACAGCTAAAACTAAACCCAGCCCAGCAATTAGTAGTACGGCGCATGCGTTTACTTACGCGTGCGCGTCACAGTGCGCCGAGGGTTTGCACTTCAGTGCTTTTCATCTGTTCTGCAATAGGCAATAAAACCGTACCATTTGGTCATGTTTGTTACTTGATGTTTACAACCTCCAGATACAGTCTGACACGCTTCAAGTGATGTCGTCTTTCCCCACAGGCATGGATTATGGGGGTGTGGCAGGAGGGGGAGGAGTCAGCAAGCCGTCTCACTCGTACCGCATGCGGAGCTCGTCTCGGCCAACCGATCGCGACCTCCGCGACCCCGCAACAGCGCAGAACACAGACTATACCCCTCCCACCACCAGATTCAAATCTGGCTACTCCAAGAAATGAGTCGTTCTCCCCTTTGCTCACTCGCGTCTTCCTTCACTCACCTGTTATTGTTTATATTGTGCACCTTCTTCACTGCCACCAGCATTTTTGGCACCATTTGGACTGTATACTACGCACAATGTATGTCCCCATGAGCCTTGCTTTTCATTCTGTGCGTGCGTGTTGCAGTCTTCATACAGCTGCAACAGTTCATAGCTAATAGGGAGTATTTAATTTGCATTCTTGTACATGCCATGTATGTTTGCTCATCATTGTTTATTCTCTTGAGAAGTTACATTTTCCTAACACGAAATGTGAGCTCAAGACGTAATGTGAATGAGTGAGGGGATTTGAATTTGGACCTCCACGGCTATTTTACGTAAGTCACTGCAGTGACGTGACGACTTCGAGGTGTATGTAACTGCCCTCAGCTTTTGACAAAGGTGGGCATGTGATCGCCATGCCTGCACGATTGTGGCCGCTTTTTCTCGCCCAATGGTGCCGAGCTCCAGCACAAAGTTGGACAGTTGTTCCCCGGGCATGCTGAACAGCATCGCAAAGAAGCTGGTGAAGGTCTCTGAAGGAGTCTTCGACCCAAAATCACTTGTGCCCACAATTTCAAACGAGAGCTTGCGTAGACTCTGTGCACGGGCAATGGCTCTAGTCATCGCCCCAAGGATCCCGTCGTCTCCTACGTTGACGAGTCTCAACTCTGTAAGGTAGGGGCTCTCCAGAACTGTGGAGATGGTCGATTGGCATTGGTGCCCGCCGAGAAATGTGACACAGGCCGAGTCAACAGAACGGCCGAAAAGGTCGAGGGCCTCACGTGTGGCGTCAAACTTGGCAGTTTGGTTTATCTCGTCCTCGGGGAAGATGAACTGCAGGTCGAGTTTCTTGAGATGTAGTCCGGGGTAGTCTGCCAGCCAGCCAAGCGGAAAGAGAGGTTCGCCCACTGGCACTGACAGTGACTTGTGCTCCCCAGACACGCAGCGTTTCTCTGCCACCTGGTAGAGACCAAACTCCTCCGACTTCTGCAACCTAAACTCTCTGGGAACTGTCCTCAAGCACTTTTCCAGAACGCAGCATCCAAAAAACTCCAGGGATTGAGTATGGGAGGATGCATTGCTCAGGAATGACGCAATAATGCTCTCCATTGAATTGCTGGGAACCTTGCAATCTATAATGCGAAGGGACTTGAAGGAAGGTTTCGAGACAAAGTGGGGAAGAAAGTTGTAAAAGAAACCGAAATGTTTGTAAGACACGTGAGATACCTCCCACCCACCCATAATATTCTGCTCAGATGGCAAATCGACAAAATTGTCGATGACCAGTGACTCCATAAGTAGTTGGTGACTTATGAGCTGGACGAGGCTTTCCATGGCCCACGACAGGCGGGTGAAGTAACACCCCTCCATTGGAGTAACTATAACCTCCAGCTTCAGCAGACCATTGTGGACCTCTGTCTCGTCACCATGGAGAGTTGTAAACAGCACCGTTATGAGAGAGTAGAGGTCACTGCTGTAACCTGCAAGTGCCACGCTTTTTAAGCTCCTTTTAGCAGCTTTGACGACAGCTTGAAGCAAGCTTGTCATCAGAAGAGCACTGTTGGGCACGTTGCTGGAGATATAGACCTCCTCCACGCGTGGTAACAGATCGAAGTACACGTTTAACCTGCCAAGGTATCTGAGGTTTTCCGTAAGCTGGACAACTGTGGGATACCACCTGCATCGATGCAGAAACCTGTCCAGCATTTTGGCGGCGGTCCTTGTTGATCCAGCTTCATGAAAGAAACGCTTAGGTACAGCCCACATGTGATGGGTTAGGGATCTGCCTCCACCGAGAGCGAGAGACGTGTGTTGTGCGTAGGAGCCGAGGTTCTTCACCGCGAGCATGCCGCTACAGACGTGTACCCCGTACATGTAGTACGTCAACAGCTCCGACCCCCGGTGTGCGCTGGCTTCGGCTAGGAAAACGTGCGCTACTTCGCTGAGGAGTGCCTCCTTGGCAGTTCGGTACGTCGGTCGAGGTCGAGGGCTCTCGCGGGACCAATCTTCACGCCGCAAAACGCGAGAAATAAACGAAACTTTGTTCAGCTTACGCCAAACCTCGTCCTGGTCGTCCAGGCCCGTCATAAAAGCCTCGTCTCTCTCCAGAGTACAGATGTCGACGACTGGGAGCCGTAGGAGGAGTTGGCGTCGGAGAGAGGTGGACAAGAGGGAGAGAGTCGTGGAACTGTACTCCTCCAACCTCCCTGCCACTGAATACAGACACTGCAGCTGGAGACTGGGCACCATGACGGACCGAGACTGCGACCGACCGTCGACTGTTTCGTGCGCGTTTCAGCATGCAGTGCGCATGTCCATTCCTGTATAATATTGCACAATCATGCATAATAGCTTACGGAATAAGAAAGGTATTCTTATGCAGTATGCAGTCAAATCTCTCTGCATTGAGTCTGCAGAGAGCTGTCACAGGATTTGGCACGAGACAACATGATTCCGTCCCTCGTTGTTATCCCAATACTCATTGTAGTAAAAGGCAAGCTCCATACGGTAGCTTTCCACAGCCGGCACGTCAATTTGAAACTGAAACCTATCATACATGCCGTCTTCTATGCTCTCAACCCACTGAGCGTGTGTATCTTCAGTCGTCTCCCAACCTGTAATCGAGTGGCGAGCCCCGACACACTTCTGGAAGGATTCGTTGCGAACCAAAACAGTTCCTACCACTGAGCACCCATCAGCAGCTCGGTGGATTCTCTCTAAGGCAACCCCCTTCCTGTCCACCACGTCATAAACCGCACTCTTGTCCTTAGCTTTGCAGGTGTCTTCATCATCGTTATATGAAGGTATAGCCAGAGGCAATGTGTCCAGTTGAGACTCAGAATTACTTGTACAAGATGGAGTGTTGTCTGTCCCCTGCAGGGAATCGTCATCAGCCGTCAGAGTGTTCAATGTGTAGCAAGACACCTCCACGTCAAACGCAGGTGTCTCCATGCTCAGATCCTTGTCTACAGAACTGCCTCCTATCTTCACTGTGTCAGCGGATGTAGCTTGCTCGAGTTTATCCTCAAAATTGTGTCCCTCGGTGGAGCCGGTGACAGTGGAAAGGAAAACTGCTGGTGTTGTACTGTCAGCATCCTCGTATTGCATTTGATTCCTGGTGATGAACTCTGATGTGGTATCTGTGATGGAAGATTCAATGGGGTTCTCAGTGCATTCTGAGGACACACCAGATACTCCCTCAAGATATTTCTTGATAGATTTCAGCATTGTAATCTCGTCTGTATCACTTCCGTGTGTACTGCCAGCTATTGTATCCACTTCTTCCTTAGGAGAAACGGCATTTGAGTACTTGTCGTCTTCAATGACGGAGTAATCGAGGGAGGGATTTGAGTTCGGATTCATGTTTTCACTCGGTGTAGACAACCCAGAAGTTCCGCGCATCGTTTCTCCGTCACCACAACGTTCGAGAGCCTCGTTAGCAGTAGTGTAGGAACGATCCTGAGTGGCCGCAGACGGCGATTCGCGTCGCTCGTCAACGCTGGATTCGCTCTCGAGTGTTGCAAATACATCCAAAGTCGTCGGGATCTCCGCAGCTGCGGCAGATCCGTCAGTGGATGATGCCGGATCACTCTTCCTCCGGCCTTCACGCTGCACCCACGACCTGTAGTTGCTTCGTCTTCTACCCCAAATTCTCCTGCGACGCCCGCGACCTCTCCTGCGGTGCCGGCGTCTGCCGCCCCACAAGCGTGGCCTCAGAGAGCTCAAAAGAGTGGCCAAAGCCGTAAAAACACCAAAAAGCATTGTTTTACCAACAACAATTTGTGTTTCCCGCGAAAGTGCCGAGTCTAACAACGGCACGCGCGATATTCGTGACTAGGGAAATATTTTGCGCATGCGCATAATTAGCGTCGCCGTCATGATAATTATGATGAGTGAGCCCTTGTCCTTTGCACAGCACAGGTGTAGTACACGCGGCAGTTTTCTAATTTCACCAATTTGACATAATAATACCAATCACACAGTAATGTCCATACAGGCTAAGAGTTCAGGTAAAATGGAATCTAGTACGCAGAGTCCTTTGTGAGTTGCTCTCAATCCACTGCAGAAAAAGATACTTACACCATTGATGGGCGCACAGCCAAATGAGCTCTCTCTCTCTCACTGTTTATCAACCACAGTGTGTCCAGTGGAGGTCAGCCAGTGGTCAGAGAACACGTGTTGCAGTGGCAGCCGAGGCTCAAACCTCTCCCAGATCTGTGTGTGTGTGTGGAGGTCAGTGAATGTGCAGTTGACACTAGCTGCAGGTATATAGTGCTACAGACTTCATTGGTCACTCCCTCCACAGTTCTCATGGACATAGCAACAACCTCCTCTAATCTATAAGTATATACAAGGAATTGATAATGCAGTCCGGAATAACTTTCATACCTCTCACGATTTTCCATGTGTCTCATCCTTTGTAAACCATGGCCATTAGCTTTGACCTATACCATATATAGCTTTTTGAAATGTACATAATATAGCTACAGAGAATACACCTTATTCATCCATGCATTTGGTTCCAGAGTGTTGACAGACGCCACAAACTCCCCAGAGTGCAAGAACCTGAGAATAGAGCATCATATCAGGAGCATTAGTTGCAACACAGTAATTATCATATATATATATACCTGGAGTGTGCCCCTTTAACAAGTCCCAAAGTTCCATTTAGTCACTGCATACTATATCACAAACCATTTACCTGGACCGATTCCTACATAGTTGCTTCCTTTCCAGTATGCCAAGTTGTGCTGACTCTCACAGCCCTGCTATTATATATTACACTGATACTTGTGTTCATATCAACTGTATTTCTTTGTCTTTACCGCAGCAGAGAAATTGGAGATCTCGTATCTTTTTAACCCACCTTCATTCAACATCTACAGTGAGAGAAACACCCATGATTAAAAAAAACTCTATTTCAAGGCCTTGAAGGAAAGCACCTCAATAGAAGCTTCGTACATTTCAGCCACAGCATCGCTGGGTGGTAAAACCTGGGGAAAAAGGATTATTGCTGTGAATATAATTATCAGTCTACCACTTCATTTCTGTTGACTGCTCTCGCCAGTGGAGTCCCTCGCTCAACAGTCAGTTGGTAGAGAGACACATGCTTACTGCCCACACCAATTGCCTATGAATTATTATGGCAGACATTTTTTTGAGAGAAACTTTTTATCTAGCTCACAAATTTTTGGCCTAACCACAAAATCTTCCTTCTGTAACATGGTACATTGTTCCTTTACCTTTCTTAGTTCTTTTACCCAGCTGCTTAGCGTTTGATGAGGCCTTCCAAAGATGACGTCAATGTTGAATCGATCGGGAAACAACTTCTGAGCCACTTTGAGGCAACTGTACAGCATAATTGTACATATCACACAAAGGTAGCTATATACACGGCAGATTTTTAAACTCTCTCTCTCACTGCTCTGATTCTGCCACAGAGTGATCCCTGTTCATTAGCTTCAAGTCCTCGTCAAGAAACGACTGTGATTGTGACGTAACCTTATCAACATAATATTATTATCACCTAACACAAACTTTACCTGAACCCCAACAGAGAGACGTGTCACCCCTGCTGTTTTGAAGGTTCTGTAAAATAATAATTGCAGATGAGCTATCCCCACAGAAAAGTGATGCACGGTTAAAATTAACCTCAGCTTTTCGGTTTGTGCAGATGTCGGGTTAGCTTCCAGGGTTACCTCGGCATTTTCTGTCAGGCACGCCTGCTCCCTAATGGTGTTCAAAACAGCCTGTATTGTCTCTGGCTTTGCAAGACTTGGAGTTCCTGGGTAAAGAGTTCAACAGTATATATTCATTGAGAGCTTGTAATACACACACTATTTCACCTCCACCAAAGTAGACCGAAGTCACAGTCCCGATGCCAGATAACTTTATGAGGGAAGTTAGCTCCTTTACCAAACACTTGGTCATCCCAGTGTGGTCCACACTGCTTCTGTGATTACTAGAATTCTACGTACTTCAACGTAGTCTGTATCCCCTTACCTGATATACTTGTTGAAATTGCAGTATGTGCATAGCTGAGAGCAATAGGGCCACTACAAAAGGGACATATTATGCATAACATGAAATACTCCACGACATACAGTCATACATGGACATAGACCGTCCCCTTCTCAGTCCACTTGTAGCACAAAATCCTCCCTAGCTTCATCTTTACGAAGTTTTCACGCATGCGCAAAACAACTTCTCACACGTGAGAGGTAGCTAGCTTAGGTGTCAGCGCGCCTCATGCAAAAGCTTAGCCAGGTGGGAAGAAGCTTTTGAGCCAGATATGTGAGTTATAGACGTGCAAAATCCCTGTAAGTGGTAGCATTGGTGGCGCTGTGTGCAGGGGTGTGCGAGGTCGGAGCAGAAGTCGCAGCCGGGACCGCGGGCGGCGTCGGTCTCCGAGCCCGGCGCGCGGTCGGGGCGGGCGCGGAGGCAGAGGCCGTCATGACAGGGACAGGGAGAGGGTCAGAGACCGCGGCAGAGGGAGGGACCGAGACAGGGACGACAGGGGCCGAGGCAGGGCCAGAAGACGATCCAGATCCTCCAGGTGGGTGCGCTTCAATTAGCGTAAAACGCTGTTGAAAGTTTCTTCTCTCCCGTTCGCGTTTCAGTTCTTCGGGAAGTAGTTCGAGCAGCAGGTCGAGATCTCGCTCTGGTTCATCATCCTCTTCCTCTCGCTCCTCCTCCTGGTCCTCTTCCTCTTCTTCTGCCTCCTCAACTGCCAGTGCTGGTCGTACCAAGAAAACAGATGCTCGACCCAAGGAAAAACAACCAGCAGCAGCAAGTGCTGCTGCTGCTCCCACTAAACCCAGCACCACTGCCAAGAAAGCCAAGAGTCCTCCACCGACCGAGCCTTCTCCCGAAAGTAAAATGGACACTAGTACTACTGTTGAAGCAACAGACAGCACGACTGTGCCTCCCCCCGCTCAGCCAGTGCCACAGACGACAGCGCCTGAAGAAACGACTACAAAGCCGAAGAGCAGGAGTCGCAGCCGCAGCAAGAGCAAGTCTCCGAGGTCTTCCTCCAGCGACAGCAGCAGCGACAGCTCCCGGTCGAGGGAGCGCTACAAGCGATCGCAGAAGTCCCGCTCGGCCTCCCTCTCCCCCAAACCTCGCAAACGGTCACCGAGCCCCAAATCCTCCAAAGTGTGCGTTTCCAAGCTGACTAGAAACATCACAAAGGGACACGTGACCGAGATATTTGCAAATTTCGGGGTCATTCGTGCGGTGGACCTGCCCCTTGATCGACTCAACTACCTCTCACGTGGCTATGCCTACGTTGATTACACCACTCCGGAAGAGGCAGAGAAGGCCTTACAGCACATGGATGTGGGTGGATAGACGGACAGACGGTCCAGGTACAGATGGTGCTCCCGATCAAACCACCAGCTCCCCGTCTGCGACAACGCTCCCCTCCCCCGATCAGACGTCGTTTCCGTTCCCCGCCTCCTCGTCGCTCCCCTCCGCTGCGTTACCGTCGCCGGAGTCCTCCACCTCGCAGGAGGCGACCGTCCCGCTCGCCGGTCCGACGACCATCGCGCTCGCCGGTCCGACGACCGTCACGCTCACCAGTCCGACGACCGTCACGCTCGCCAGTCCGACGGAATCGCTCGTACAGCCGGTCCCGCTCCCGTTCCAAGTCACGGTCCCGTTCTAAGTCACCCATCATCAGGAAACGGCGCAACCGAAGTAGCCGATCAGCCTCCAGTGGCTCAAGATAGAGCACATAAGAACCTATTGTGCATGAATAGAGCACTTTTTGCTTCATGTTTTACCTGACCTGTTCCTTTGTTGTGTAATGTCCAATGATGAGTGATACAGGCTAGCTTGTTGTCTGATGTGACAGACACATATTCTATATATAGTGCGTTCTAAATGATGTGCAAGAATTGAATTCACTCGCTAAAGATGCATTGTGCTCCCATTAATTAACCCACGTAGCACACATGAGCATTGTCTACAGTCATATCCACAGCTAGACCCTACCTCTGCACTTGTCATGCCCAGCTTCTCACACGTATAATAACTAGAAGCATGCGCATGCCACAGTGGGAGGATTGAGACAGCACAAAAAATCGAAAATAGTTCATAATTGTAGGTCTATTGCTCTGGATTCTGTGGCTGACTTGTGCTCTCTCCTCCGCCTCCAGACTTGGTTGCCTCTGTCTCAGTCCCCACCCTCTCTTCTTCCCCTCCACCATCTCCTCCCTCTCCTCCGGCCACCTCTACCTCCCCTTCTGTCTGATGCTGATGTTCAGAGGAAGAGTCCCCATCACCTTGCTCCAGCGATGGCATGGCAGGTACAGCAGCAGAGGACACATCAGAAGCTACAGACTCTGTGTCTTTGAGTGATGGCAGTGCGGCGAGAGAAGCAGACATGTCTGGTTGCGACGTTTCGTTGACCTGCATCTTGTGTTTATAGATCTCTCCTGTTGTTTTCACTTTACCTGTATAGAGCACACCAGCAAACAGTACGTAATCAGCAACACATTAGATCAACAAAACCAACATAATCATACAGTAGGTTTAGGGTCCGAAGAACCCCCTTTGTGCCTGCATCAAGGGTGACAGAAAGTGAGATAAGCAAGTCCAATGCAGGCACTATTTTGCAAAATGGAGCAGGGAAAAAAACAGTACAGACCTGGAGTAGCAGGGCAATGCATGAGCACTAACCACTGGGTGTCAATGCAAGGCTGCACATTATATCAACCACACCAAGGACCCATAACACACAACACTCTGTTTTCTACCAGAGAGAATGCACAATTTGTCAACCTCCAGTGGTGAGCCCTCTCTCTAAATCCCGTCAACACTACTGACGAGGGCATCTCTTACGGTGTAACCAACATACCCTGTGAAAGATTGAACGTTCTTCCCTCCGGTGTGGTGGGTGTGGGTGGAGCAAACCAGCCCCACAGGGACCCTACCACAGGGATACTGTGTAAGAACCCTTGCTGCAGTAAAGAAGAAATGGTGTGTATTATGACATGTACAGGAGGAGGTCCGCTGTCTCCGTGTACCTCTCCATCTTTCTTCTGTTTTTCATTGTGGATGTCTTTCTGTGCCTCTTCTATGCCTTTCACGATCTTCTGAGACATCCCGTCCAGGAACTGACGGCATGAAAACCAGCACACAATGGCATATTAGTGTAGCTCACCGTGTCACCGTTTCAATTTATTGTCTCTCACCTTCTTGTGTTCTTCAAACTCCCTCGTCTTTGTCAGTAGTCCGGTGAGGAACCCACTGATGTTTGTGCCAGGAGGCAGCTGCATATAAGGTATGGTATATACATAATGGACAGTATTATTCTCTGTGTAAATGGGGGGATGGGACACTGTGACACTCTCTGATGCAATTATTAGTACCTGCTATGAACTTTCCCCTCCCCCCAAACATCACACTGGCAGGGACCCCGCCGTGCACACTGCGCCCTTGATCTGCAAATCTCTATTTTTGGCCTTGTAAGCTCCCCACCACACCATACTTAGCACACATGTGTGTCAGTGCTTGTATGTGGACACGCACATGTGTGCTAACTGCTACAACAAACACACATGTCCACATACAAGCACTGACACAGACACAGACACACGCACACACGCACACACACACACACCTCTTTGATCATGATGCAGGTGAAGTTCCCATGCTGGAACGGAGTGTAGACGGGGTCCCTGGTGGCCAGGTCGGACGCCAGCTCCAGATTCAGTTTGTTGAGTTTGTTCACCTCTTCCAGAGTCAGCTCCACCTTGGTGGCCCAGTCAGTCGGAACATACCTGCACGACCACACATACTCCATCCACTCTAGCTCAGAATGCACTTCGGCTATCTTTCGTTTTCAGTTGGTACTACACTAAGCTTTGACAGTGTAATACTTCCAAGATGAGGTAGTTCATTTAACTAATACACCAGCTTTGTAAAGGTTAATGCACTGATTACCTTTATGTGCATGACAGCACTTAACAAGAGCAAGCACTGTGTTGATAATATGTAGTGCTAAGTATTGTATAGAGCAGAAGTAGTAGTATGTGTATGTAGTACGTACTGGATGAATCCTCCGGCAAAGAAAGAAGGGAACTCGAGGCAGCGAAGGTTGGGCTGGCCTCGTAGAGTTGACTCCACCAGACATCTCAGTAGAGACGTGGTGTGCAGTGATAGCTGATGGACGAAACACGAAACCCATCACAAACGGTACACTCACCTGCCACTAAATAGCGGGAAACTTTATAAAAATAGACACTTACCGCTTTCTGTTTTAGGGCGTCTATGAAAGAATCCACGTCTTCAATGGAAGTACTGTGCTCTATGGAGGAGACTACATACATACATACATACATACATACATAGGACAGTCATCAGCCAATTATAACACGGTACATACGTAGTAGTGGGACCTCTACTGTACTGACAGTAGCATCATAAACTACGCATACACTGACTCATATTCGTAGGTAAAGTGACGGCGACATGTGTAGTTACTACAACAGCACAACACAAAATGGGTGTTTTGCACTTTTGGCAAGCAGGGAAAAGCACATATAATCCACATTGTCTAGTATTGAAGGGGAAACCAGCATTCTGGGGTGGCCATGGAAGGGGCCAAAATATGAAGGAGTGAGTATTAGACATTATGACCAGCAGTGTGGGTGAGCCTTGTCGAAATGAACGTCTAACCAGGGAACGAGTGGATGGGATCAAACTTGAAGCAGAGGCCATCTCCGGGCAGTTTGAGAGTGGTGATCCCAACTTTGGGGAAGAAATGGTAGAGCTCCTTGGCTATCTGCAGGCAATAGGTAGGTACATGTGTCATCAACGAGAGGTCATGGCAATGGCAAAGGCAAACAAATAAACTACACCCAGGAAAACTCTTTGTTTCCAATGAAAAAGAGCTGCCCAGGTGTTGCACCAACGATACTCTGCAGTCTAGGTGAGCGCTCTACCAACTGAGCTACCAGGGCAACTCAACGACACTCTGCAGTCTAGGCGAGCGCTCTACCAACTGAGCTACCAGGGCAACTCAACGACACTCTGCAGTCTAGGGAAGCTCTAAACTGATGCCTAGCTGCATCTAGCAACTGAGCACTCGGAAGTCTAGGTGACGCTCTACCCAACTGAGCTACCAGGGCAACTCAACGACACTCTGCAGTCTAGGCGAGCGCTCTACCAACTGAGCTACCAGGGCAACTCAACGACACTCTGCAGTCTAGGCGAGCGCTCTACCAACTGAGCTACCAGGGCAACTCAGCTGGTAGGGGTTCAAATCTGCAACACAACACAACAAAAAGGCAAACCTCAAGCAACTATATACGCTATGGTACAGTACATACAGGACAGTAGAGAATGGACCTACTAGTAGAGGAGGGAGTTAGTATATTATTATACCATCATGTTGGTGACATTGGCAGTGGGAAGAGGGAGAGGATCCACCACCAACTGTGTCGGCGGCTGGGACTCCTGTAAATAGGAAAAGTTGTGTTTCACTTTCAAGTCTGTGCATTTATAAGCCACACAGTAATGTATAGTGGCAGGCTTTCTGGGGAGAAACAGGTCACAAAATCCTACTTTATCTCACTAACTCAGTAAAATTTCCTGCTACACTGTACCTGTACACGTACGTACCTCTGCTGCTTCTGCTGCAGCTGCTACTGGAGGTGGTGGTGGTGGAGGTTGATCGTCTCCAACTTCCACAGTCCCCATCTCTAGTCCTTCACTGCAACCATCTCCTCCACCCACCTCCCCTCTCTCTTCTTCCTCTCCCCCACCCTCTGTATCTCCTCCTCCTCCACCATCTTCCACCTCTTCCTCTGCTCTGCTGTGGTCACCGGGTTCCTCTATAATACACAGCACCAGATACACCATCACTCTCCTACCACTGCCATATACACTGGAACCTCTGAAAAAGGGCACTCCAATTAAAGCACCTCTCTATAAAAGACACTTGCTTACACCCCATACTATATATATATTATATATATATGTGTTGTGTGTATATAGCCCTAATGCACACTTTGTGTTGTGTGTATATACACCTTGAAAAATCTGAATAAGGTAAACCTTGGGACACATCAAAGGTGTTCTTTATTCAGAGGTACTCCTTATTCTAGGTATACATACACACAAAGTGTGCATTAGGGCTACACACATACACTGTAACATGTAGTTGTTGACTTGAACCAGTAACTGGTATATACATATACATACGTATGTTATACAGATGATCAGTGAGTGGGTGTCTCACCAGTAGATGTAGGTCCAGCGACTGAGTCCTTGGGCCCCAAAGTTCCTGGCCACCTCGAAATAGTCCACCTCTCCTCCGCCATAGTACTTGAACAGAACCACGTAGGACTTGTGGTTAGGGACACCCTGAGAACCAATAGCCACCGTAGATTACTTGTCGGAGATCCAGTTGAGTCAAACCAGTATTAGGAAAACCGGCCGCAACGTGTTCATACGTGAGGATGGGTGAATGCCCAACTAATCAGCAGCAGACGTTTTTATTTGGGTGGTTGATTTTGAACTCAGTGATTATACACAGGCCCATTCTGCGAGTGTCTGTGCTTAAAGAAAACTTTTCCACCCTTACCATGCTCGCTCAGAAAACCCCATGGCGTATTGTGCAATTGAATGTGATATACTAATCTGGTGATTTGGTGAACTCACAAATCTCCTGACACCAGGAACCTCCTCCAGTCTGGCTATCATGTGCTCCGTCTGAGTCAAGAGACAAGATTTGAGATTTTGGTCACTTGAGCAATGCTAGTGCACACATATTTCCTACCAAATTGCTGCAGTAGGTGACCGTCTCTATCAGGGTCTTGCTACCTGCAGAAAACCATTGACATAGTCAAAATAAAGAGAAAATCATACCAAACAGGAAATTTTTGGAACGCTTCTGCAATTGGGAATAAGATAACTTTAACTTTTTGTGGACTTATTGCTCCTAATCTACAAGAGCATGTATGCATCGCCCAAATAGTGACTTTCAGACAACGAAAACGGTATCCAAAATCCTACTTTCATCTACAGTCTGAATGGCTATTCATTCCCACGACATCTCCACTGAAACACATGACATTCTCCAGTGACCCAGTGTCTTTCCTCCCTCCTCCCCTCCTCCCCTCCCTTTCTCCTCCCTCCCCTCCTCCCCTCCCTCCCTCCCCTCCTTCTCTCCTCCCTCTCTCCCTCCCCTCTCTCCCTCCCATCCCTCACCAAGGAACTGGAGACTCATCCAGAGAGGGAGGGAGAGGAGGCGGCCAGGTCCCTGCGGCTGCATGGCCGACCAGCTCACTCCCGGCAGAGGAATGGCTCCCTCCTCCAGTTCAGTTCCCTCTGGTGGAAACGGTCCCGATGTGGGCTGTACATGGACACAGCAGTCATACATACATGCTCCTTGTATAATGTAACTAGCAGTCAATATTCCCGACATGATGACAAAACCGCAGTCAATCTGCTCTAACATAATGTATTGAGACAAAAGGAAGGACAGCACACAATATGCAGTCAGCTTACTAGCTCATCCCATACATAAGGTATGATGTCAGACTGAAAAACAATGCCCTGTAGCATTAATGTATGGAGACAAAAGGACCAAAACAGCAGTTTAAGCTGGGACACATTATGCAGAGGTGCTCCATACACAACGTATGATGAGACCAAACAAAGGACTGCATGTATATACTGAATGGTGGCTAAATGAAAGAGACGTAAGTAGTCTTACCAGAGTCTCAATGTCAATGACGGTGGGTGTGGTGTGTAGGGTCTGAGCAGCAGCATTGTCAAGGAATTTTATGCCATATTAGTGTTTGCTACACATCAACTCATATCACAGAGAGTTGGTACATAGAAACCCTGAGGAAACTAAAAAACTGATTGTCCAGAGATGTATACTAAGTGTTTTCCGTCATTGTTCCACTATGTGCATGCATAATACAACAGGACCATGTATACTGACAGAGGATACAATCCATGGGCTGCTGAGAAGACCAAACCAAGTCCCAAGGCACAGTGTCAGACTGTCTGCCTGTCTGGCTATCTGTGGAACACACATGTCTATTGTAGTAGCTGGGTCCTGCTGTAGAATGAGGTGTCAGCTAACCTGTACTCGAGCCTCTTCAATAGGAAGACACAGAGAAGACAGAGCATGGCTGTGTGAGAGTGTGTGTGTTAGGTGGTGGTAAATATAGAGGTTCAGTGACAGAGAGAGGAAAACTGACCCTTGTACATGTAGCCACATCTCATAGTCTGTAGCGATCTCTCTCAGCCTCAGCAGGTCCTCTATGTGGCCAGCCAGGGGAGTACCTGCATGTGACATCGGCCAGCACCATTACTGACACATGCCTACTATCACTACAGTGCATCCTTCCCCATAGAACCAGATTGTCCAACCAACCATCCTGAAGACCTTTACTATCACTGGAGTGTGCAGTGCGTATAGTACACATTTATTATTGGAAAAAGGGCAGCTCCAACTTTCGTACTTTTAACGAGAAAGTAGAGAGAAGGACAGGCCAACCAACCATCCTGAATACTTTGACTATCACAGTGCGAACAGTACATATTATTGGAAAAAGGGCAGCTCCAACTTTCGTACTTTTAGCGAGAAAGTAGGGAGAAGGATAGCCCAACCAACAATCCTGAATACTTTGACTATCACTGGAGTGTGCAGTGCGTATAGTACATATTAATTCATGTCGGGAAAAAGGGCAGCAGCTCAACTTTCAGTACTATTTTAGCGAGAAGTAGGGAGAAGGACAGGCCAACCAACCATCCTGAATACTTTGACTATCACTGGAGTGTGCAGTGCGAATTAATTATTGGAAAAAGGCCAGCTCCAACTTTCGTACTTTTAGCGAGAAAGTAGGGAGAAGACAGGCCACCAACCATCCTGAATACTTTGACTCTCACTGGAGTGGCAGTGCGAATTAATTATTGGAAAAGGGCAGCCTCCACTTTCGTACTTTAGCAGAAAGTGGGAGAAGACAGGCAAACCAAACCATCCTGATACTTTGACTATCACTGAGTGTGCAGTGCGATAGTACATTAATTATTGAAAAGGGCAGCTCCAACTTTACGTACTTTAGCGAGAAAGTAGGGAGAAGGACAGCCGAACAACCATCCTGACAACTTTACTATCACTGGAGTGGCAGTGCGTATAGTACACATTATATGGAAAAGGGCAGCTCAACTTTGTACTTTTAACGAGCAAGTAGAGAGAAGACAGGCCAACCCAACCATCTGAATACTTGACTATCACAGTGCGAACAGTACATATTTTGGAAAACAGGGCAGCTCCACTTCGTACTTTTAACGAGAAGTAGAGAGAAGGACAGGCCAACCACCATCCTGAATACTTTGACTATCACAGTGCAAACAGTACATATTATGGAAAAAAGGGCAGCTCCAACTTTCGTACTTTAGCGAGAAAGTAGGGGAAGGATTAGCCCAACCAACAATCCTGAAATACTTTGACTATCACTGGAGTGTGCAGGCGAATAGTACATATTAATATGGAAAAAGGGCAGCTCCAACTTTCGTACTTTAGCGGAAAGTAGGGAGAAGGACAGGCCAAACAAAACCATCCTGAATACTTGACTATCACTGGAGTGTCAGTCGAAATAGTCACATTAATTATTGGAAAAAGGGCAGCAGCTCCAACTTTCGTACTTTTAGCGACAAAGTAAGGAGAAGGAACAGCCCACACCACCTCTGAATACTTGACTATCACTGGAATTGTGCAGGTTTGGGCGAATAGTCATAGTATTGGAAAAGGGGGAAGCTCCAATTTTGGACTTTTAGCGAGAAAAGTAGGGAGAAAGGAACAGGCCAACCAACCATTCTGAGATTTGACTATCACTGGAGTGTGCAGTGCGAATAGGTACACTTATTGGAAAAGGCAGCTCCAACTTTTGGACTTTTAGACGCGAAATAGGAGAAGGACGGGCCAA